CAGGTACCCGCCACCACGCCCAGCTAATTTTTTGTATTTTTAGTAGAGATGGGGTTTCACCGTGTTGGCCAGGATGGTCTTGATCTCTTGACCTCGTGATCTGCCCGTCTCGGCCTCCCAAAGTGCTGGGATTACAGGCGTGAGCCACCACCCCCGGCCTGCCCAGGGGTTTTCAAACCATGAAAAGATCAAGTGAATTATTTGCAGAGCACAAGAGACTCAGCTGGGGCTCAAACCCGGGGCTGCTGGACTCAGTCCCTGGAGGCCCCTGCCCAAGCCTGGGCCTGAAGGAGAAAGGCCATGGTAAAAGGCCACCTGGGTTAGCCCAGCTCAGCTGAGGCCACAGCTGCTGTCATCCCAGGCTCCCTGGCCAGCCCTGCGCTGACACATCCTGCCCACTCCCAGGGAGGGGATTATCGCCCCAACGTCTCCAGATAACAGCCGGCACACAGGGCTACAATGGGGACCCACAGACAGGCGTCCCACCCCCCGCCAGCGGCACCATGGCTTTCCTCTGGATCGTCTCCTGTGGGCCCTCCTGGGCGCCGCCTTCGGCGAGGGCCGGGCCCCGCGGAGGCTGAAGGGTTGTCTCCCCTCACTCCCAGCCCCGAGGCCAGCAAGGGGCAGCAGGGTCCCAGTTCCCAGTGTAGTTGTGCACCACAGTGTGGGCCTGGGCGAGTCACCGGCTCCATCTCTGCCGTGGGCACTGCAAGACCTGGACCAGGTCACAGCTTCCCTCCCAGGCTCAGCTGCCACCTTGGAGCTCAGGAGCTGGGGAGCCCCACTCCCCTTCCTCACCCCCAGCCGACCTGAGGCTCCCAGGGGAGGAGGTAGGTGTCTGGGGGGCCGCCCTGAGGCCTTCAGGAAACCCCCCAACAGTCAGTGGCCCCAGTACAGGCTTGGGTGGTGAGCATGTGGGCAGCTGGGGCTTGGCACCGTTCAGTCCAAACCTTTCAGGCGAGCCTCATCCTTTTAAACTCCCGCTTACGGAGCACTTCCCGGGTGCCAGGAGCAGAGCTGGCGCTCTGCCTGCTCACTCTTCCAAACCTGAGAGGTCAGAAACGGTGTGATCCCCACTTTGCTGATGGGGACACTGAGCGGCTTAGCTGGGCAGGGAGGGCGCCAGGGTCAAATCCACAGAGTCTGGCCTCCCAGCTTGAGTGTCGGGACTGCACGCTCCACCTGTGTGGCTTCTCTGAACTGAGGAGGGGTCAACACCCCATTCCTCAGCAGCCCACAGTCCAGTGCCTTGGACTCAATTGTACCCGGAGATTCCAGCACTGGGGAGAGGAGAGCCAGGGCCAACTTCTCAGAGGAGGGGATGTGGGAGCCATCCTAGGTCCCAGACACTGGAAAAGAGTTGGGAGTGAGAGGAGGCTGGAGCACTGAGACCTGGGTGAGTGGTACCCACCCCTCAGCCCACTCCTGCCCCCAGGCTGCGGGGTCCCTGCCATCCCCCCCGTGCTCAGCGGCCTGACCAGGATCGTCAATGGGGAGGACGCCGTCCCTGGCTCCTGGCCCTGGCAGGTGTCCCTGCAGGTGAGGGGGCTTCTGCAAGGCAGTGGACACCCTGGGTGGGGGCCAGGCTGGGGGTGCCACCAGGTGGGAGTTGCTGACCCTCCCCATCTTCCTCCCAGGACAAAACCGGCTTCCACTTCTGCGGAGGTTCCCTCATCAGCGAGGACTGGGTGGTCACCGCCGCCCACTGCGGGGTCAGGTGAGGACCGGGCAGCCTCGGGCTCTGCTTCCAGCCCAGCTGGGTGGGAGGGGAGCAGGGCATGTTCTCTCACCCACAACGCTCTGCCCAGGACCTCCAATGTGGTCATGGCTGGGGAGTTTGACCAGGGCTCTGATGAGGAGAACATCCAGGTCCTGAAGATCGCCAAGGTACCCAGGCCCCGTGCAGCAGAGGGCAGGGGCAGCGGGCACAGGGGGAGATCCCTCGGCTGCTTCAGGGACAGGTGCCCAGTGGGGCCGGCCCGGCCTCGTGGTTCCCATTCCAGCCCTGGGGATGGACTGCTCCTTAATGGACACCAGGGAAGGAGTCTGTGTCCTCGAAGCCTGCAGGTCCTGCCTCCTCCCAGGGCCTCACCCCGGCACTCTGGCCCCCACCCCCAGGTCTTCAAGAACCCCAGCTTCAGTATTTTCACCGTGCGCAGTGACATCACCCTGCTGAAGCTGGCCACACCCGCCGTCTTCTCCCAGACGGTGTCCGCCGTGTGCCTGCCCAGCGCCGACGATGACTTCCCCACGGGGACAGTGTGCGTCACCACAGGCTGGGGCAAGACCAAGTACAACGGTGAGGGGCCGCGGGGCTGCCTCTGGGGTCGGGGCTGCCTGGCTGTGGAGTCCCCCCGTGACTGTTTGACTCTAAATTCCAACACGCTCCTAACTTTCCGTTCTTTTTTTTTTTTTTTTTTTTTGAGACGGAGTCTCGCTCTGCCGCCCAGGCTGGAGTGCAGTGGCCGGATCTCAGCTCACTGCAAGCTCCGCCTCCCAGGTTCACGCCATTCTCCGGCCTCAGCCTCCCGAGTAGCTGGGACTACAGGCGCCCGCCACCTCGCCCGGCTAGTTTTTTGTATTTTTAGTAGAGACGGGGTTTCACCGTGTTAGCCAGGATGGTCTCGATCTCCTGACCTCGTGATCCGCCCGTCTCGGCCTCCCAAAGTGCTGGGATTACAGGCTTGAGCCACTGCGCCCGGCCCAACTTTCCGTTCTTTATTGATAATCCTCTGAATTTAAAATCCCCCCAGTGCAAATAAAATCCAGGTTGGATCATGAGGAGCCTCCACAGGGGGCTTCTGAGCGCACCTGGCCGGGTGAGCCCTGCCCTGGCTGACCTGCCTGGAGTCACAGTGTGGGGCTCCCACCGGGCAGGGCCGAGGCCCCCTTTGTCCCACAGGCGCTTCCGAGGCTCCAGGGGCCGTACCCAACATCGTGTTGATGGTGCAGGGGAGGGCAGGCGTGACGGCCTCGGGTCTCTCCCTCCTAAGTGGGCTGGGTGAGCCCTGACCTTCCTCCTGTCCTGCAGCCAACAAGATCCCTGACAAGCTGCAGCAGGCGGCCCTGCCCCTCCTGTCCAATGCCCAATGCAGGAAGTTCTGGGGCAGATGATCTGCGCTGGGGCCAGCGGTGTCTCCTCCTGCAAGGTGAGGCTGGCCCCACCCAGGCCCTGGCCAGGCGAGCGGGGTGCAGGGGAGGCCCGGGTTCCCCACCCCTCTCTGCCCTCATCTGCTAACCCCACTGCTTCCTGATGTCAGAGTCACCTTGCTGCAAAATTCCATGGCCAATGTCAGAGCCAATGGCCCTTGGAGTTGTGCAGTGCACAACCTGGGCAGTGGATCCCAGCAGGCCAGCGGGCTCCAGCAGCCCTCCCTCCCTCACAAGGACCCCTTGGCAAGCCCCACCAGGCTCTTCCTCCTATTGGTCAAACCAGCTTTACTAAGCTTTCAATAAAGGGCCCCATTCCGGGGTGGCTCAGGCTTCCAGGGGCATGAGCCACAGAAGCAGCTGCTGGATCTTTCATGACCCATGCAACAGCACATGCTGAGTCGCTGCTGTGTGTGGGGTCCTGGCCTGGACTCTGGGAACTATGTCCAGTGGCCCCTGGGACCAGTCTGTCTGGGCTGCCAGATCCAAGTTCCCTTCTCCCTCTCCCAAAGGGTGACTCCGGCGGCCCCCTGGTCTGCCAGAAGGACAGAGCCTGGACCCTCATGGGCATTGTGTCCTGGGGCAGTGGCACCTGCTCTACCTCCAGCCCTGGCGTGTACACCCAGGTTACCAAGCTCATACCCCGGGTGCAGGAAATCCTGGCTGCCAACTGAGGCCGTGGCTCCCTCCGACCTTGCTCCCCACAGAACTTCAGTAAACCTGTGGAGCACACGTCGGTGCTGTCCGTCTCCTGTTTGGGGCCTCCAAAGCCTCACTCCACTCCAGAACTTGGGCCCCCACTGGGCTGGGCTGGGCCAGGCACGGGCGGCCTCTGGGAGGACCCTTCCCTAGTCGCCTTTCCCACCACTCAGGCTCCTGCTTCCCGAAGAGTGGCCAGAAACACACAGGCAGATAAAAAGGGGCGCAGAGACGGACGGGGGATGTGGCTGGTGGGGACCGGGAGGACCTTGGCCCCCATCCTCAGCACCTGCCCCCGGGCGGCAGGGTTCTTGCCACCCACCCTTGCTCCCTTGCTCAGGGCCCTGCAACAGGGCGTGGGCAGTAAGGTGGACGAACTCACTCTGGCCGCACACACCTGCGGTTCCAAGGAATCTTCCCACGGCCACTCCTAGAGCTGCCAGACATGCTGGAGCCAGGAGCATTATCAACGCAAGGACTGCTGATGAGGGGGGTGGTGGCGAGGTGGGCTGTGATTGGTGGGCTCAGGGGACAGGATGGGGACCCTCTGACACCCCATGGCCTTTCTCTGGATCGCTGGGCTTCCCTCTCTCTGCAGTGATTCTTGAAAGTTCGAGGCTCAGGGAGGCTGGGAGCCCCAGGTCAAACACGCCCATCCCCAGCCCCAAATGCCCAGAAGCAAAAAAGCGCACTGTGCCATGTTACACGGGGGCACCACATCCTCCATGGCCAGATCCTCCTCCCCTTCCTCCTCACACTCTGCCAGCTGGATCCCACCCCTCTGGCCACTACCCCTGCTCCCTCAGCCATGCTTGGGGCATGTTTCCTCCCTTCCTTGGCTCCCACACCCTGCAGATTCTGCCTCCCGACGGTTTCCTGCATCCACACCTCTTGCCCACCCCCCCACCCCCAGCCCCTGTACCCTCTGCACCCGGGCGGCCTCCTGGGTTTGTGTGTCCCCAGGCCCTGCACCCCAATCCACCCCAGTCACTGACTCAGAGCCCACGAGAGCACAGGGCCCCAGGGAGATCCAGCCACCACGTCACAGCACCCTGGGCTTGGAGAGGGACGGACACTCCCTTGGGTGGACAGCGGTCAGGGGAGGGGGCTGTGGGCACTGCAGTGGCACCTAAGGACACCATCAACTGCCGGCTGCCCTGCCCCAACCCCAGGCTGCAGGGTCCCCACCATCCACCCTGACTCAGCATCCTATCCAGGATGTCCATGGGGAGGATGCCATCCCCAGCTCCTGGGCCTGGCAGGTGTCCCTGCAGATCAGAGTGGGGTCCTGTCCATGCAGTGGGGGGGACCCTGGGTGGTGGCCAAACTAGAGGTGGGGGAAGTTTAAAACCATTTTTATTTATACATAGAGACTTGGGTCTCACTATATGGCCTGACTGGTCTTGAACTCTTGGCCTCAAGTGATCCTCCTGCCTCAGCCTCTCAAAGTGCTAGGATTACACAGCCCTCGCCCCTCAGGTCCCTCCTGCCCTTGTGGGAGTTGCCAGTCCTATCCTCCCAGTGCAAACCTGGCTTCCACTTCTGCGGGGGCTGGGTGGTCACGGCTGCCCACTAGGGGTCAGGTGAGGCTTGAGCTTGAGGAGTCGGGGCCCACCAGGTGTCAGGGAATGACACTCACCCCCTCTTCCCAACCCCAACTACACCCTGCAACCAGCAGGAAAAGGGTCGGAAATGAACTGCAGGCTGGGGAAACAGCAGCCCCATTCCCCGGCCACAGGCAGAGCCTGCAGGAGACGCCCACCCCGGGCCGTGCACCCCACCTCCACCTTTGCACATCCTCAGGCCACCCGGATCACAGCTTGGGGAAACCTGGGAGGTCCTGCGCCCTCACTGTGCAGGTGGGGAAACTGAGGCCCTAAGTGAGAAAGGGATGCCGAGATCACCATGAGACTCAGTGGCCAAGCGGGGCTCACCCCCACGAGCCCAAGCGCCGTCTGCCACCCTCACTCTCCAGAAGAGCCACCGTGTGGTGGCCGGGGCGTCTGACCTTGGCTCTCACCCGGAGGCCTTCCAGGTGCTAAGGATGGCTAATGCAAGGCCACACAGGCAGGCAGAGGTGGCTCGTGACGCCACCATGGGACAAATCAGCCTCTGGGAGAGGAGGTGAGAGGATACAGGGGCCCCTACCCAGCTGGCCTGGGCCTCACCCTGCACCCTTGGCTGCCAGGGCCCATGGGCACCTACCTCTCCCAGCTGTCTTTTCCTTCCCAAGTGTTAAAGCGTCTGAAAGCATCCTGACAGGTGTCTTCAATGATAAAGTTTTGTTCATTGTAGAAAAACGTGGAAAGACAATCATTAAAAATCACGTGCCACGGGCTGTTCTCCTTCAGTCTCCATAGACTCCACCTGTCCAGTCCCATTCCTGTTCCCTTCTCAACGTACTCCAGGACTCCCCACTCCTCTCTGCCTCCTTCCCAGGCCTCACAAGGGCCAGGCCTCAGGCTCACAGCTTCCTGGACCAGGCAGGTGAGGCTGCCTGGGGACTCCCTCCTCTCCCCAGCCCTCTGAGCTGGAAGGTCAGCTCACGGGGCAAATGGCGCCCCGGCAGGAATGAAAGCCACTTGCCCCAGCTCCCTCCAGGAGTGTGCATGGCAGAGCTGGGGCTGCCATGTGAACCCAGGCCTCAGGACCCTGGCACAGCCCCTGCACCCACACTTGCCATTTCTCTGCATCCCTCCCTGGACTCCGCCAGGTCAAGGTCTCCCAGGCCCTGGCACCCAGTTCAGGCCTGGCGACACATCCTCTGCTTCCTGCAGGGCAACTCCGGCAGCCCTTGCCTGCCAGGATGGACCCTGGACCCTGGAGGGCATCGTGTCCTGGAGCAGCACCAGCACCTCTCGTTCTCACCAGACGTGGATGCCCACATCATGAAGCTCATGCCTGGGAAGCTGTGGAGGCTGAGACCCTCCCTACCCCACGTCTGTGTAAAACACAAAGCCACTGAGAGCGACTGCATACACCTTTACTTCTGTGTCCTCACCAAGGAGGGTGGGCTGAGCATGATGTGGCTGAGTTGAGGGGACAGATGCTGTCACGGGGACCCCTCTGTAGAGGTAAGATCAGGAGGGTTTGAGCATCACCCAGTACTACCCCCTTCTTCATACAGATGGGGAACCCAAGGCGCATGTTGACATGCAGAATGGTCAGGGCTGGGAGGAGCACCAGGGGTTCCAGGCACCCTGGAGCTTCCATCTAGGCTGCGGGCTGCTGGGTGGGGGAGCCACGGGGGGGCACACACTTGCCCAGGGCAAAGGTCTTCTCCAGGCCCCTCCCTCCCAACTTGGAGGCCAGATCCACGTGTAATTCCGCGTGTGCTTCGGGAGTTCCACAGGCTGGGATGAGATTCTTTTAAGCAGAGTTCCAGATGCAGCCCCTGACGGTGCCCTCAGCTCACAGGAACCCGTCCCCTCCTGCAGCTGCTCCTGCCCCGATCTGCCCTCGCTCCAGATGCCAGTTGTGGGCATGGGCAGGTGCTCGCTGCTGTGGCAGCTCCCTAGGGCTCGAGGGGGCCACGCCCAGGCTGTGCCTTCTGGGCCTCAGACCTTGTAGCTCCGAAACTGACCCCAACTCCTCTTCTGGGCCCAGGCTCTGCCCTGGCTCCCAGGGCCTCACCCCACCTGCAGGAGACACCCAGCCTCAGTGTCCCTTAGTTTTTTTCTGGAGAGACCCACTCCTCTGCCCTCCTGGGAGATGCCATGCATGGCACTTGCCCCTGGGTGCCTTCCCTGGAACCGTCACCTGCCCCGGAGGCTCTCATCTGGCACCCTCAGGCAGCTGCTCTTCATTTTAAAAACTTTATTTAAATGGAGACTATTAGTCAAATGATTGGAAAACCAATAATGAAAAATAGTTCTAGTTCTTCAGGGTCTTCTCCTGGTAAGGCGGAGGACACACCAAACTGCACTGGCCCTGTCAGGGGACACGGCACCCTCGCGGGGCCAGGCTCAGACCTCGGGGCAGCATGAGGTCCTGGAGGCTGCGGGGCCCTCACACTCCAGACCCTGCCTGGTGACCCGCCCCGGGCCCGTGGTGCACGCTGGGGAAGGCCACTGGCTGACCCCTGGGCTTCGGCTCCTGGGGAGGCATGGCCCCACACCCTGCCCAGTCATAAATATATACAGATTCCTGGGCATCAAGGGTACCAGGCCTGAGGCAGAGCTGGGGTCCTGTCTCTAAGCCTGTGGCGCAGCGACTCTTGAGATGGGAGCCAGGGAACTGGGACCACCATGCCCCTCCCCCGCCTCCCTCCTGGGGTCACGGCCCTCAGGCGGCTGCCAGCTGGCCTAGGACGCGGCGGAACTGCTGGGTGCTGTGGCCCAGCTCCTTGACCCTCTCCACCATGTCCTGGGCAGCAGCAGGTGATGGGTACTGCAAGGCGGCGGCCTTGGTGGTGGCCACGATGCCACGCAGGAGGTTACACAGCAGGTTGCTGTAGTGGGTCACCTGGCTGCGCACGTCAGCAGCCTTGGCCTGCCGTGACAGTGTGTCCCCAATGAACACCAGCTTGTGGGCGCTAAGGATGACGAATTTGCTGTGCGCCACAAAGATCTTGGGTGGCTGGTTGGTGGCCACGGCGGTGAAGAAGGCGTCCACGGCATTGGTCAGTGTGGTCAGGTTGGCCTCACACTGCTCCAGGTAGAAGAGCAGCAGCTGCCGGTCTGAGGGCCCCAGGCCACCTGTCCGCCCCGGGGCCAAGGGTTGGGCTGGTGTCCAGTTGGCCAAGTCGTGGTCTATGGGCCGCGACACCTCCTGTTCCAGTCGTTCAAATTGCTTCAGCTGGGGCGGGAGGGAAGCAGGAGCAGGGTTAGGCTCTCGGGCGAGTCAGAACCACAGGCCAAGACCTGGGCACCCTGGGCTGGGCTTCTCTAAAAGGGCTGCTACTCAGAGTGCACGGGACTGTGGGGAAACCGGCAGTCTCCTCTCCCGGGGACGGGACCAGGAACCATGGCAAGCCTTCTGGAGGTTGTTCAGTTACCTTTCCACCAATCTCAAAAGATCAGACTCCGTGCCCTGAACATTTTTGAAATGACAAGATGGACAACAGAAAAGTGGCAGCCTGGGGTCGGGGGGGGTGGGGGCGGTCACCGTCCTGGCTTGGGTACTGTCCCACGTGACTTGAGATGTGGCACTGGGGAAACTGGCTGAAGGGCACTGGGGATCCCTCGACCCTATCTTTGCAACTTCCTGTGAATCTATAAATATTTCAAAACAGATAGT